CTAGCAAATACTAGAGCATTCCTGAAAGAACAAGATAGTTCTAGAAACTAGAGGGCGCCACACCAGTCACGTGACTCGCTGACGCAACAGTAACCACATAATCGTTTTTGAATATGTTTTGATTGATTCAACCCTAGCATTATTGCTAGTCATTTTTACTTTTTCCTCATCTTGGCAACGACCATTCCAGCATGGAGCCAGAATAAATGATCATTCATAATTGCAGAAAAACACTCGTTGAACAGATAATTGCCTAAGCTAATTCTGCTTGTTTACTGGACAGGAAACAGCTCATTTCATGCATTGGCTCTATAACAATGTTACATGGCACTGGTGCACTAGACATCAGCCGTAGTAAACCATGGATCATCACTTGTGTACATGGGGATGTTATGGCTTCCTCTCCCAATAATAAGTATGTGCAGTCCACTGTTCCTGGATCCAGTCTGTCTGGCACGAGATAACTTTCCCATGGAACATTGGTTCACTGGCTGTAGAGGTGAAACTGACCAGTATGTCCATCCCCAAGATTATATTGCTAGAACCAATGTCTATAATAACTACCCTTGTTCTGTGACTGTTGTATCCTAGACATAATCAGAGATTCGCCTCTCTTTCGCATCTGGCTTATCTCCATTTGCCAGGATGTAGTTTGCAACAAATGGCACGAGTGGCGATCTTGACTCAGAATACTTGATATACCACGAGATCTGATAGTGTCCTGACCATTCTTGTATCAACCAAGAACTCTGTCTGTTGCTCTTGTATACTGGCAGGCACTTATCAAGATTCCAGGAAGCACTGAAAGAGGTGGGCTGCCCACGAATCTTTTTGCTTTGTAATAAATAAAGGTTGTTTCACTTCACATCATAAGAGTAGTCTCCATATTTCTCACACATCTACAACCTTTTATTTGCTTAGAAAACAACTTGAGCAGCATATTACACGAGATGAGATAAAGTATATAATGATTAACTAAAGAATTTGTGAGTTTATTATTATCAGCCAGTTAGTTCAGTTCTATAAATACTACTGTAAACTTAGGCCTATCTGTAATAATTACTTAAGCAAACTTGTAAAACTTCTAAATAAACAAAACGCGTTCTTAAACATTAAGTGAATTGGAGTGTGCATTCTTCTTTTTCTTTTTGCCAAATAATGCAAAAGAACCTGTAGAACAATAGCAACCGTTACAACAGTCATAGAAGGCGCTTGAGTATTGTGGGCAGGCTATCCTATCAAGTGTGGGGGTTGCGCAGTTGAGAAGAATCAGTTGTAGAATTACCTCACATCCCATTTTATAGCCTTATTTTATACTGTCCTGATCATAAACAGAAAACATATTAAATTGTCCCAGTTTCTGTCATTGGGCAGTAGTAGGCCTTCCAAAGCCGAACCTAACAATAATATCTTTATTGATTGGTAAAGACTGTAACTTTATGCTACCGAATCGTTTAGGTTATCACGTGATCGTTAGAGGGGCAGGATTTCGGTATTTATCTAGTAGACGTGGCTTCTTCCTGTACACAAACTGTTTTCATTCTTTCTCTCTCTCTTCATGTATCTGATTAGCGTAACATTTTTTCATGCTTTTTAATATCTGCAAAACTCTTTAATGCTCTGTACAGAAAATGGAAATATATATTTGTTAACTTCTGCATTTTGTTGTTGAGAACGTAGCTGTGCAATGGGATGTCTCTTGACCACGCAAGAATTGAACTCTGAATTTTTACGTTATAAGCCATCTGCCGGAGGTAATAAGAACATGGCTAAATAGCATCTATTAATTTGTCTAGGTAAAAAAGAAATAATTAATTTTCTCAAAATCTTGTTATTCATTTTATTGATCTGAAAATTATTATTTAATAACAATATGTCGTAAGAGCGCTAATATACATTTTGTAATCATTATCTCATTTGTCGTAGTTACAAATATGTATCGTACAATAATTTGAATTTCGCGCAACGCTACACGAGGACTATCTGCGCTAGCCGTCCCTAATTTAGCTGTGTAAGACTAGAGGGAAGGCAGCTAGTCATTACCGCCCACCGCCAACTCTTGGGCTACTCTTTTACCAACGAATAGTGGGATTGACCGGCTGGAAGGGCGAGCACGTCTGGTGCGAGTCGAGCGATCTAACCACCTGGCCATGCCGGGCCGTCGTACAGGAATCCTACAAATATAAAAAATAAAACACAGAAAAATCAACAAGCAAAACTAAAATCATGTATTCAGTGTTATGAAATATATGAAAAAAAATAGAAAGATATTTCTATTACTAATTTATTTGTAAAATATAAAAAGAGAAATAAATATTATTTCATTGTAAATTTGTCACTAATTCAAATTGAAAATATTCAAAAATAATAAAAAAAAAGATTATTAGATGTGTACATTTCTTACTCCACCATATGTTGATTTGGTGATTTTTTGATTTTTTTTTTTTTTTTGGTATCTTATTGCGTGTATTGATGAAATTTCGTATACAAATCATCATACGCTGAGAGGACAGCCAGCTGCGTTCATATCCGGTTATTTTTATCACTAAAAGAGGGGGAAAGCTGTCTGGATTAAATTTACTAATGGAAATTAACAAAATACCGTATTTTTCGGTGTATAAGACGCACTTTTTACCCCAAAATTTGATGTCAAAATCTGCTTGCGTCCTATACACCGAAGGTATGAATAATATATATGTATATATACGATATACACAAACCATGTGTAAATATATCTAAATAGGCATGCATAGTTTAGTTCAATTGAATGTGTTATTTATAATAGTAGTAGTTTGTTTGTTTTTTCTTTTAAAAACATAATTATTTATAATGCTCCCTAAATAATACAAAAATAAATTACAGTGAAAGCAATGAAGTTTTGTAGGTTTTGAACCAAACTAAATAACAGTAAACCTTTTTTGATTTACGGTATTTTCTTAGTTTGATGTTTTAATCTCTTGCCCGGCATGGCCAGGTGGTTAGGG